GGGGGAGAGAGAGCAGCGAGAGACCTCTCTACATCGGAGTAATCGGGCGTCCACAACTCGCAGTGATCGATCTACTACCAGACACATCCTTGGCCGTTTTCACGATGCGAAAATAAAAAAGGGAAGGAAAAAGGAGGACACAACTTTCGGTCTGGACCCCGTGGACCCGAATCTACTAGATTCCGAGTGGACATCGGGGGGGGGGAGGAAGGTGACGAGGTAGAGTAAATAGAAGGAGGAGAGAAGGGTCCTGAGAAGGAAGGAGGAGGAGAGAGACGGGAGGAGAGGGGAGTGGATTTCTCTCGACCAGTTAGAGTTCGTGGCCACTCTCCGGTAAAGTGGTGTCTGGGGAGTATGATGTGTCTATCGGTCCCATTCCCCTCTATCCCTTCCTCCCCTCAAGTCCTCCCTCCCTCCTGTACCTGTTCGGTGTTCTACTCAAACTTTCCAAACCTCAGTTGTTATCCTTGTTTCCACTTTTTGCGTTAGAAGCCGACTTTCAGTTTGCCGATTTTTCGGGAAGAACTATTCCAATTCCCCTTAACGGCATTTTGTTGTTTCTGGTCTTGATAGAAAACTTCAGACAAGTCTTGTACATAAATATGTCTTGGTTTATCTATCTATATATTTATCTTATTAGATAAGTCAATCTAATTAATCGTATGTCGTTACTACAATATCGATACGTTTGTTATGCCACCGGCGACCACGCTTTTTCAATTAGATGTCTGGTTGTGTGACTGTAATCCTCTTGTGCTGATGTGTAAGTTTTCGCTTATCTTATACGCCGTTTAGAGACCTTATTTAGGCGCTCCCGTATACTCCTAGGTGCGTTCGTGTTCAGTTCGCGGCGCCTGCCATAGTAATAAAAGCGCTCGTGTTTTGCCGTGAGCGACGCTCTCGGTTATAACTTCGACGTCCCTCTTTGTACGGAACGTCGTACACGTCGTAGATGTACTCGGAGGAACCACGAAGGACGCGAGAGCGCCTCATTAAGGACCCAACGCAAGGTTATCAGCGTAAATCGAATCCCTTGGAAGGATTGGTTCACTGGGCTTCATGCAGTCACCGTCGGTACAATTTCACGGAAGGTTAAGGAGGTTTACTTTACTTTCCCTCCAAAGTTTCGAACGGAATATATGGAAAAGAAATCGAATCCTTGGTGATCCTGGAGGGATTGGCTCTCTACTCCTACTTTTAAGACGGGGTGGTTACGTAACGTCGGCTCGTAAACGCAGTGAGTATGTCAAGACCGGACAAAGTGACCTTTGTTATGCTATACTGCCCTCTTACAATAATAGTAACTTTAATGATCCACGAATAATTCGTAAAATTATGCATACACCATATAAACGGTTTCACAGAAACAAACTTAGCAAGTAGATCATAATTATTGTTTTCTCTTTATACTTGTAAATCAAAAAAAAATGACTTTAAAAGTATTATTTCAGTTGTAAAAGTAAGACTACGACACACCACCCGAACAAGTTGAAAATTTTCAAAATTACCAACTATAAGTGGCAACTATCTACAATTCCCCTGATATGCAAATATATTTATGAAACATAACTAATTCATATAATTGTTAGATAGATACCAATATTAACATTACACCTGCACTACACAAAAAAAAAAAAAAAAAACAAACTCCTCTACCACTGACAACTATGTAACAGTGAAAGGAAAAAATAAAGTAATAGTAGAAACACAAAATACTTCTTATACAAAGAGAAACAGGTGCAAGTATTTCGTATTTTGTTGTCGTAGTCTCGTGCCAACGTCATCAAGAGATCTACTCAGGAGTAAGAATAAATTTGATAGGTACACAATAAGGAAAACTATCTATGATACACAAAGGTATCAAAGGGGTGATCGTCGGTCTGCGTGTGTTACATGCAGCGAACACGCGAAGTATTGTCACGTCTATCATTTCCGTAAGCCTAGAATTTCATGCGTCAGAGAAGAGGATCAGCAAAAACCATTAAAGAGGGATAGGTATAGGGAATTTGAGGGACACTGCAAAGTAGTGACTCCGATTCTATATCCTCTTATCCCAATCTTGATCTGACTAAAATTTGATAGGCCTTGCGTGAACGAGAAAGACGAGCACTTTGAGACCGAAGACGAGAGTGAAGCGCCTCTTTAAAATCTTAATCACCCGCATGGCAACCAGGTACATGCAAGGTTTAGATTAAACCAATGTGGGAGAGGAGAAATACATAACCGAGACAATAAATTTTGGTTCTCATCAAAAACAGGAGAGAGTTGCACTACTTTATAACGACACTTTGCAGAGGGCTAAATGATGATTACTAACAAACATTAATTTCCTACGAAAACATAAGACCCAATAAGGTTGATTCTCGGCAGAGAATGAATATTTAATACCTAACTCAAAAATCTATTATATAAAAAAAATATGTATAAAAAGTTTTCATAAGTTTGTTTAAGATAATAATTTCTATTCTCTGGTTAATGGAAAAGCCAGAACTGTATAATATTATATTTTACATCGAAAGATTTTTAAGACTTAAAACCCTTAATTATTAAACTAATGAAATCGTTTTATAAAAATAGTATTTACAGGCGACAAAAATTGTACACAAGGGGTCAAAAATAACGGAATTGACGTTTTATGTCCCCAGAATTTTATACATAATTTTCAACTATTTAGCTTAAATACTCTTTAAATTCCGATAATTTTTTCATAATTTTTGCAATAATAGTTAACCATATGTTAAGACATCGAACAAACAGTTATTCATATAGTTAACAGGTTTCTCCAACATAAGATGGCAGA